TTTGCAAGCCTAACTACGGGGGTTGGCAATCATGCTTCTTTGTGCCCATCCAACGTAGGTTGACCATCGCTGACGTCTACTGGCCTAGCTAAGAAATAGAGGCAATTTAGAGCAAGAAGTGTTACGGTGGCATCTCACGAGCAAAAAAAAAGGAAAGAAGCCTGATCTTTCTCAAATCTCTCACTATCAATTTATTATCATCAAGGATGTCCCAGCAGCCCCGAAAGGATTTTCCTCAGAGAACTAAATCTGACATAACAAAGAACAAAGAGTTGTTCCCACCTACTGCTGTAACATCTCAAGGACCAAACGAGTGGTTTAGGGTATCACTTGGCTAGAGTCCCCTTCCCCTGGACAGGGTCACTGTGTGCCACCTCCCAAAGAACGCACAGTTGGCATCTTACCAATGCACTAATGCAGAGGACAAGGAAATCAGTGCACTTTGGATTCATTTCCAGCAGAGGAGATCTTACGTAGTCCGGGGTTTTAAATGGCTGCACTATCAGATGGGTGTCACGGCTCTTCTTTCTGGTTTTCTTGCAGACCAGAAGTATTGCCAAGAGCAGGCTGGAACAAGGGTCGAGCAGGGCTTCCCCCAGCGTCACTCACAGCTTCGGTTAGCGAGCTGAGCGGGCGCACCTAGGCAGGGCAGAGTTTCCTGACTCAGTCGGATGGCCAGCCAAGAGGAACAGCACGACTCAATGCAGTTAGGAGACGAGAGACCTGGATTCCTAAAGATTTTCCTGTCTTTTTCTTCCAAAAGAAGAAAAAGCCCCTTAATTTGTAGACAGTCATTGTATTCAGAACTCTGCTAACAACATAACTAAATATTGCTGTTAGATTTTTGACTAAAATTCTCGGAACAGCATTTGTCCACCTCTTCCAAATAAAACATTTTTTCATTGGCTGTATTGCCTCCCTGCACAGCCTAAGCCAGAAGCAGTTAATATTTACACTACTTGATCTGCTACAAGATACAACTAGTAGAATTGGATCTTCTCCCATACGACAAAGGAAAATAACTTGGGGTTACAAACAAGGCTCACATAACAATGCAGTTGTGTGCTCACATAATAGTCGTGTTTTCCAGTATTAAAAACAAAATCCCAGATGAAGAACAAGTCTTTTGACCTGGTAGCTATGATTGGATGGACACATTACAATTGCCAAGCAAAAAAACACTTCAAAACAGGAATTTCAGGATTTTTGTATATTTAGAGAAAGTCTAATCCAGTTTTCAGAAAGTATAATCAAGTTTTATCATTATATAGACTGACTTTATCCTATTCATAACCATGTGAAGGATTATTTAAAAATACTGACATTGCAATCCATACAATGATTCTTTCTGAAATATTCAATCTGTGGAATGACACAAACAATACAATTTCACCCTTGCCACTAACAGAAACAGCTATTCAAGCAGGCCAGATGATGCAAGCCAGAAGAAGTCATGTAACAGTTGCAGGAAAATTGAAAGTGCCCTTTTCTCTTAAAAAATTCCTATTAAATGGAAATTAGAAGTGTTTTATTTTCAGATGTCAAAACAGAGGATTAGAGGAAAATGAACATTAGTACACTGGGTTATCTACAAGCTTCCAGGCTGAATTTTGGTCAAACACAGACATACATCAAAACATTTGCCTCCTGAAAAAAAAAAAAAAAAATGAGCAGCACAGCAACTTAACACACAAGCCAAGAAGCAAACAGCTTTCCTAGGATTACCTTTCAATAACAGGTAAATTACAGTGGTCAACTCATTTACAACAGTTTCAAAACAAACCAGGACACACAGGCACACAAATCTCCCCCCCCCCTTACACACATACTCTTTAGTGCCTCCCCGTTCCCTGGAAACGGCATATAATAATAATTTGTCCAAAATTATAGCCTCGCAGAGAAAAAAAACAACTCTGTCAGTCCTTCGTGAGTAATTGTCTTTCCAAATAAACAGGCATGAACTATCAATCAGTTAAACAAACAAGCAAACCCTTTAAACAGGGTTTGAAGCTGCTAGGATGGAAGAAGACCACAATACTATCTACTTCCCCGCCTCCTCTCTGCAGAGCGCTACTGATAAAAAGGAAGAAACGGTTGTGAAGGCTGGGGAGGACACAGGAGTTTATAAAGCTTCGCAAGCTGGGAAGAAAAAGAAAGCCACTGTAGTTTGATTCTCCTTCCCCACACGTGAAACTTTTCTGATGGGTAAGAAAAATCAGTATCAGGAAGAAAGATGGAACGGAAAGTTAAATTATTTAAGTGACTGCACGGGTGAAAAGTCTTGAGAATGCTGCGAAGCCGGAGGCAGCATGATCTGGATCAGCCATCAGAGGAACCGCCTGGTCAGCCAAGAAAGCACAACCCAGCCCACTACACACAAAACACTGTGGTTACAGCTAGATTTACAAAGGGAAGGGGAAGAAAAATACCTAGACCCATCCTCATTAGCAAAACAAATAAATGTCAGTCCTAGTAAAAAGGAGGTGAGCAAATAAACTCCATTTAACAATGTTTCAATGTTTTGTGCAGGCATACAGAGGTTTACAGTACTCAACTCTTTGAAACGAAATACTGTCTTAACAACGCCTGACAACGTATTCTGTTTTGAACTAACAGGAAAGAGTTTTAATACTAAATTACAAGATGCACACAGGTAGCGACCAAGAGGTCAAAAACATAATACAGCATTTCAAAAGATGTAACATAAGATAAATACATATTTTGGACATTTTAGTGGCAGGAGATCAAGTTTCTTCCAGGAGCTTGATCTCCAACTAAAACAGTGCAGCATAACTACAAACAACACAGCCAACTACAAGTACACCAGCTTACGCAACTGTAGTGGAAAGCCTGACAGACTAATACAAGATAAGACAGGCTGCACAGCACCCAGCTATTATTTAAAAACATTACTATTGCTAATAAAGTCATCCTGATAGCTGCTACCTCCCATTCTCACTCTCTTCCGTTTCCCATGTCCCTCCAGCCCTCAAATGAATCCACGGGGGTTATCTGCCTCTACAGTTCTCACAGACACTGGCAAACTGTCACGCGTGTAAGGCTTCACAAATTCAGTGCTTTCCTTTATTTACAGGGTCTGGAATGGGAAAACACAGGGCTAATCGCAATGTTTGTTCTTCCCCAGCCACCGGCTGGAAAGGTCTCTCATGCACTAGCGCTCAGGAAGGATGTAAAGGAACGTACGGGAAGGAAACTGTGGCCACCAAAAGGAAAAGTCCGACAAAGAAATGAGGACTTGGTAAGCTTCTATATCCCACATAACAAGCAACAAAATTCTCACGTAAAAAAGTTTATTTTCTTTCTTTCTTTCTTTCTTTCAGTATAACAACCGCCCTTGATAGTTTATTGGAAGCTCCAGCAAACTTTGCAGCAATATTACAAAAACAATCATCACAACCACGCAGGTTTTTCAAGTCCCTGCAGAGAAAACAATCATTTCCACTGAGTCTGAGAAAGTTTGTGTTATCGGCACTCAGTTAACAGTTTGCATAGCTAGGTCACTGACTCACTTCACATGTAAAGGCCATCATCATCTTCAGTCACAAACTACCGGAGTATGAAGCAACTTCTGGGTTGTTCCGACTTCCAAAGTTCATACCGAGTCACTTGTTATTAATACCATGGAGGAGGTTGCCAGCACAGACGTTTCAGTTACTGGATCAATCGTAAAAGCACACAAAACAGAAAAATGCTATCACACGCAAAGAGAAACATGTGTCTGAGGCCATCACACTGGGTTTACTGCTAAGGATAAAATACAAGAGCTGCAGTCCATGTGCCCTTTTTGGGCAACCTAATGAAAAACACCAGCTAGTACTGAGACCTCTACTCAATGCCATGATGAAGCTAACTCTGGGAATCCTTGGTCTAGAGCACTAGTGCGGAAAGTCTAAGCACATTTTCTTTCTTCTGTTGCCACTTTAGGATGGAAGAAAACACCAAATTAAAATGAAAGGCCTGCTAAAGAGACATGCTGCATCGTAATCAACCCTGTATCCACTTCTTTCACCCTCCTGGAGAGACTTTCCGTGTACAGGATTTCCACATGTACAGCTGCAGCATGGAACAAGTTCTTGTTTATAATTTGGCATACTTAATATTTTATAATAAAGCAACCAATGCTATGGAAACATAAACATATCTGGATATGTTTGTCAGACAAACCTGAATAGAATTTCATAAGGCAAAACACTGCTCTGGAGCACTTGACACTTTTCAAAGGCCTGTTATAAACAATGGAAGTTTCAGTTTACTTGAAATTATTAAACATCTTTTCTAATGGAAAAGTATTAGGCAACTAAAACCCTGAGTTCCTCGTCAGCTTTCAAGCATAAGGCCACTACAGCAACACGAAATAAACATTCACATTTCTCAGAGAGTATTCATGGTTCTAAAAGAGACTTCTGCACCAACATGGAAAGTATACCTTTCGTGTCAGGTACTTCACTTCTTGTTCTGTACATTGCATTTAAAGATTTCCTTTGGTATACACACTTCATAAAGCCACAACCTCTGTCTAGCCGATTTGCCAGCCTGTCACATAAAGAGCACTGAACTGCGCATACACAATTACGATCACTCATAAAACTCACAGTCCTAAGTGAAATGTTATGAACGGCTTGTTGCAGATCTGAAGCACTGCAGGCATGCGCACAGTCCTAACTTTAAGGACAAATAAGCGTGGAAGAAAATCAGCGGAACTGTCCCCCTGCTTACAAAAGAAAAGACACAACTGTCTGCAGGGCTGGGACACCGGACGGAAAGCTTCTCAATGTCAAACTGCGCACACTGTACTAAGTCACACATGCCAAAGCTATCAGCGTGTCACACTGCGTGTTGCTTTTAATAAACACAGCCCACCTCGTACACTGAGCGATGTGAACAGATCTGCAGAAACAAGACTGAGAAAACCAAGCCGTCGTTATAGCGAAACTAAAGGCGGGCAAGGTCACGGCACCGAAGGACCCGGTTATGCCTACCCGGGGCCCATTCATTCAGGGCAGGAGGCGTCCCGCTGGCCGCGGAGCTCTGCGCGGAGGGAGATTTCCCACGGAAACCCCTCACCTTCAACAGAGGGAGTAACCAGAGGTCAGAAACGACCCTCCGCTGCCGGATCGCGGGTAAGACGCGGCCGGGCCGGGGAGAAGAGCCCCGGGCCGGCCGTGGGAGCGGGCCCAGCGGGGGTCCGTGCCCGCGGCCAAGGTCACCTT